GGTGGTTTTTAAACCTGGGTTTAGTATTGTTTCAAATTTGTAATTTTCATTTGTAATTTTTAACTCAAAGCCCTTCTCCACAGAAGGAATGAACATTGAAACAATTTCAATGTGAAAAGGCCAATGGTTAAAGCTTCCTGTGTTTATCGTGCAGCCCACAGGGACTCTTGGAGCTCTGGACCTGGGTGGAGCATCTACTCAGATAACCTTCGTACCTCAACAGGAAATTGAATCACATGACAATTCTATTAACTTCAGGCTGTACGGAAATGATTATCACCTGTACACCCACAGCTTTCTCTGTTACGGGAAGGACCAAGTTCTCAAGCTTTCTATGGGCAAGAAATTAGAGTCAACACTTAAAGATGACGTGGTATGCTTGTCATTGCAATTGAAGTTCTATAGACCAGGGGTCTATAGGAATGTATACTTATTCTATAAAATTAAGTGTTGCATTGAAGCAATATTACACTGTAGAAACAGTTTTCAATGCTAGTAAATATAAATATATTTACTAGCAAATATAGTATAATATATTATATTAAATATCACAAATAATTACGAAGAATCAGCAAGGAACATTAAATTAAATGTGAAATTTTGAAGCAGAATGAAACGGCATTTTCTTGTAAAATGTCTTGTAAAATGTCTCAGACTTTTGGAGCCCAGTGTAAGAAACGTCAATCATCACATCTGCTGAAGTCACTTGACTGAGTGTTTTAAAGGGGTCATATGATGTTGCTAAAAATAACATTATTTTGTGTATTTGTGTAATGATATATATATATATATATAAAAAAAGTTTTTGTTTACATAATATATGTGTGTGTACTGTGTATATTTATTATGTATATATAAATACACACACATACAGTATATATTTTGAAAATATTTACATGTATTTGCATGTACATATTTATATTCATTATTATGTAATTATGTAATATAAGTTATATTCACAATCTTTTTATTTACAACTTAGAAAAATAATTTTTGGCATGTGTGTATGATATTAATGCATTTACTGCACATACTTTATGATGCTTACTTTGCAAATCTATTAAAATGATTATTTTTGCTATCATTGTTACATTTTACAGAAAAAGAATAGTTAATGGCAATAAAACATTTAAATGGATTTTAGCTTCTCAACTTTAGCTTTGATTAATTTTATCTATTGCATTTGTGTTTAATGCATATCTAAAGATATAGAGCACACGTATACAATTGTATCTTATATTTTTAAATGTTTTTTCTTCCCTAAGACAGACCCTGTTGAGTTAAGGGATCCTTGCTTTCACCCTGGATTTAACTTCACCAGGACTGTTCAAAGTGTCTTCAATACACCGTGTATGAAAGAAGTGAAAATGGCAAATGAAAACTTCTTCCATTTAGGGCTTGGGGATTGGTCTCAGTGCCGGCAATCAATCAGAAAGGTTTTTAATACCAGCTTTTGCCCTTACTCAAGATGCTCTTTCAATGGTGTTTTCCAGCCTTCTGTCGATGGAGACTTTGGGGTGAGAAACAATGAAGATTGCTTGTTTGTAAGAATTTGAATGGCTGGTTGTAAGTCATAACTAGTGATAATGATTATGGCATTTGACTCTATAGGCCTTTTCAGCTTTCTTCTTTGTGATGGACTTTTTGAATCTGACAAGTGATACTTTAGCGGGTACAAAGCAGAAGCTAGCAACGTACTGTTCTACACCATGGAAGAAGGTGAAATGCTTTATTAACCGTTTTTGAAGTATGTTAAAACCGGTTGCATCTTTGTTGGGGCATGATGTCTAAATGTATACTTTTTTACTTTTGTAGATTACAGAAAATCATCCCAACACAAAAGAGAAGTACCTTTCAGAATACTGCTTCTCAGCAACCTACATTCTCACTCTTCTCGAAGATGGATACAAATTCACTTCTGACAACTGGAAAGACATCAGGTTCATTAAGAAGGTGAGCATGGTGTAAATTAAAATGTTACATTATTTCTCATTAAATGTATTTGGACACTTAAGTCACACTGAAAATGTATGAAACATTTTACATGCAACACAACAATTTAAAAAGTTTAGATGTTAGATTTTATGTAGGTTAAAAAGAAAAAGCAATATATATTGTTCAAAAATAAGTATTTACAAACTTTGTGAAATAAAATACAATTACAATAATTTCATTTTAATAATTTAATTATTAAATAACTGAATACTTTTATTTTGGGGCCAATGTATATAGAAAATAATTGAGAATATTGTGTCAACCACTCTTTATGTGCAGATAGGAGACAGTGATGCAGGCTGGACATTAGGTTACATGCTTAACCTGACCAACATGATCCCTGCTGAAGCTCCAGACACGCCGCTGATGCCTTATGGGGGATATGTCACATTTATGCTCCTCTTCTCACTTCTAATACTTCTTCTTCTTCTTCTGGCCTACATGTATTTCCGTCGGTCAACTAGAACAGCCCAGAAAGACATCATTTAGACAAGGATATTATGCTGTGGTCTCTATATATCGAATGTTTATTTCTGCAGTACAAAATTTTGATAAATCCAAAATCACGTTTTGACTTGATCTCAAAGGTTTTACATTTCAAAGAATTTGGAAATCATACCTCATGTGAAGGATTAACAGGTTTTTGGAGAGAGATGGGTTACAAGTTCCACTGCGACTGAAGGGACATCAGACTCTTTTCCCATTCCTTTGTGCTTTTTGTGACCACTCAAATTTTTTCTTTAAAAAGCAAGTCATGAGTACAGGTTTAGCTTTTGGGGTGCTTGGTGAAAGGGGTTGTTGATGTTCCTTAAAAGCAAATGTGCACTGACATTCAATATATCATGTGCCTTTAGTCTTTAATGAAGTTTCCCATTTTATGTATAGAAAAGCTCACGTCATCTTGATGGCACTATATTTTATTTTTTTACTTATTATAAAGTAATGTCTGTGAGGTAAAAGCTCTCTAGTTGTATACCTTTTTTGCATTATGGTAATATGAAAATCGCTGGATATCATTGTTTAAACATTGCTTTTAGCAAAGCACATTTTTTAATGAATTGCAAAATAGGGGACCATTTTGTTAGGTCTGTCATTGCGAGCTTCTCCCCCATACCCCCGCCCACCCGACCCCCCCCCAACCCCTTTCTGTGCTTACTGAGAGTTAAAATAATCCTTTGTCCTGAGAACAATAATGTCTGCTTTTATAAGGCACATTCTGTATATGAAATCCCTGTGTATGGCTCTAAAGTGATGTGTAAAATTATGAAAGATTTTGTTTTTATATATTTAAACAATACCTGTAGCAAATTTCTATTAAAATTACAAATGTTTTATTTATAATACATAAATGCATGTTTTTGAAATAAGTCTCTTATGCTCACCAAGGCTGCATTTATTTGATTAAAATACAGTAAAATGAGTAATAATATAGAATATTATTATAATTTAAATTTTTTAACATTTTATTTATTCCTGTGAGTGCAAAGCTGAATTTTCAGCAGCCATTACTTCAGTCTTCAGTGTCACATGACCCTTCAAAAATCATTCAAATATGCTGATTTGTTGCAAGTAATTTTTCTTTTCAAAAATGAAAACTGTTGTGCCGTAACATTTTTGTGGAAACTGATGCATTTATTTTCAAGATTCTTGGATGAGAAAGTTCAAAAGAACAGAATTTATTTGAAATAGAACTCTTTTGTAAATGTATACATTTTTACTGTCACTTTTGATCAGTTTAGTGTGTCCTTGGTGATTAATAGATTTATTTATTTTAATTTATTGACCCCAATGGTAATTTTTAAATGTGAGTGTTTGTGTAAATATGAACATCTATATCTATTCATCTATATATATATTTTAAGGAATGCTACAATATGCATAGGATAATACATTCATTCTTTATTATTGCTATTAGTAAGTAACAAAAATTGTCCTTACAAAGGTTTACAATAAGCCTTAATTCCACAGGAATATATGAACCAAGTATTGCCACTGATAGAGATATAATTCAAGATATTAATCTGAGGAATCCATGGGAATAGCCTTTATTACAGATTATATGAGAGGCCATAATACTGTCAGATACATATGCAGAGTATATAGAACCAGTGTGAGATTACAGCCCATATCAGGAGTATTATGCTATGCTGAAAAGTGTTATGATGTGTCAGCAGTGGAGATACTGGCAATATACAAATGTACTTCATTCAACACATGAAGCGACAATGAAATATACAAATCTACACAAGACATATCTAATCTTCATTTAGAGCTTTGTTTGTTATCGTCCTCTTGCATTATTGACAAACTATTTTCCTGTTTGCCACTGTAAAGCTGCTTTGACACAGTCTGTTTTGTATAAAGTGCTATATAAATAAAGCTGACTTGACTTGACGAAACTCACACAGTGGCTCTTAAAAATTAAACACAAACTTGTTCATCATTAACTCAATAACTGTAACAGGTGAACCAATCGAATCCTAAAGCTTTGCATAGAATTGTTCAATATCTTCTGATCTAATAGCACCCTCCTTTGTGGATCTCTAACAACTTTCATCTCTCTAAGCCAGTGATCCTCAAATCTGGCTCGCGAGATCCACTTTCCTGCAGAGTTTAGCTCTAACCCTAATCAAACACACCTGAGTTTGATAATCAATGTCTTCAGGATCATTAGAAAATCACAGGTAGGTTTGTTTGATTAGGGTTAGAGCTAAACTCGGCAGGAAAGTGGATCTCGCGAGCCAGATTTGAGGATCACTGCTCTAAGCAGTTGTTGCTATTCAGTTTGATGTGCAGTACAACATTGATTAGCAAGCTCCGGTGTGTTTGATTAGGGTAGAGCTAAACTCTTCAGGAAAGTGGATCTCGCGAGCCAGATTTGAGGATCACTGCTCTAAGCAGTTGTTGCTATTCAGTTTGATGTGCAGTACATCTAAACTGCATTATAAATGTGGAAGAGAGTCATTTGGTACCCATAGGGAGCTTATGGAATTAATAAAATGCAGTCAGTGGAGGCTGGGAGTAGTTTTGGTGTTGCAGTTCTTGGCCTCTCTCAGCCTGATGTGAAGCGTCTCTGAGTGTTTGTCTCTGGCGCTCTCTTGTGGCTCTTCTCGGTTGTGCAGCATTGATCGTAACTGTGGCAGGAACTGGTCCCAGTCCTCAGGTAGTAAGAGCAAAAGGAAGCCCATACAAATGATGGACACGGCAATGATGCGTACACTGTTGAGCTGGATCTCACACATGTAGCGATCTATGACTGGAGTGTGGAAGATTTTTGATGGTCACTCAGGTATTACAGTTAAACATTTGAATATTTTAGTCTTGAAACACCAAGATGCTAATGTAATCAGGGCAATTTGGAAAACATTTAAACTAAATGAAATCTTTGATATTTACAGTCCAATTCAAAAGTTTTTTTTTTTTTTGGAAAGAAATTAATACCTTTTTTCAGCAAGGATGCATTCAATTGATCAAAAGTTTCAACAATGACATTTGTAATGTTGCAAAATATTATAAATAAAAACAGGTTTACTGGTTTCCACAAAAAAGCAGCACAACTGTTTTCAACACTGATAATAATAAGAAATGTTTCTTGAGCACTAAATCAGCATATTATAATGATTTTTGACAGATCACGTGGCACTGAAGACTGGAGTTATGGCTGCTGGAAATTCAGCTTCGAGATCACAGGAATAAATTACATTTTAAAATGTATTCAAAGAGAAAATGGTTGTTTTAAATTGTACTAATATTTCACAATATTACTGTTTTTACTGTATTTTTAATCAAATAAATGCAGCCTTGGTGAGCATAAGAGACAACTTTCAAAAACATCTTACCGAGCCCAGATTTTGAACAGTAGTGTATATTATGGTGTAAAGGAGTAAAATAAAAATAAAGAAAAGTCATTTACTCAAAAATCATTTACTCATCCTCATGTTGTTCCAGACCTGTATAGCTTGCTTTCTTCCGTGAAACACAAAAGGAAATTTCATGCTGTTATTTATTTATTTATTTTTTGTTATTTTTGAAGTTTGGTCAATATTTATGTTCAATATATAGAAAAGAGCAGAGTTAACATACTGCCTAACATCTCCTTTTGTGGATTACAGAAGAAATAATCACATACAAATTTGTAACAACATACAACTTCGAAAAACAACAAGTGGCTCTATTATGACTCACCAGCGTTGACAGGAACACTCAGGATGACACCCAGAGAAATCAGAGTAGGAAGTTTTATCAGAACACCAAAATTCAAGAGGAAGTTGAACACTAAAAGAGCATCCAAAGAAAACAATTTGAAGTTAAAATGTCTTAATGATGGATTTGTTTATTAAAAACACACAGTTTTTCATTTCAGGAGATTTTAATTGATGTACTGAAGTCGTATGGATTACTTGTTGATTATTGTGATATTACATCAGCTGCTTGAACTCTTATTCTGATGGCACATATTCCATTTGTGTACATAAGCACAGTTTGTGTTTATGTATTGGCGTCCATTCTCTTACCCAGCAGAAGAGCGGACATGCCACAGATACTTGGCCATGGCAAATCTCTAGGTGAAACAAAGTCCTCGGCCCCCGTGATAAGCAGCATCAGAGGTACAGCACTAATGAAGACCAAATTAGCTCCACCGAGAACAGTAAGATACACAGCTGCTTCACCCAGCTTTGCACTACCCAGAACAAGCTTGAACAGAACCTGAAGAAACATTTACACTTATGGATTTCTCTACAGACGAAGAGAGGATAAAATAATTAAACGTTCATTTGAAACATCTCTGAAATAGCAGCTCATTGGTGTATGATGTGTTTGTTGTGCTTTACAATCCCGTCTTACTTTGTATATAGCTGCTGTTAATGCAGAACCAACCACAAGGGAGATGCCAATCACAGAGTAGCTGTGGAAACCATCAGCATATGTCATCATAACAATGCCCCCAATGGCTAAAATGGCTGCTACAATCTGTGATTAGATGGAATACAGAAAAATGTCTGACTTTTTTAACAAATAAAAAGTATTTTTATGATAAAAAGTAAAAATCCCATATAGACACTGACATATGCACACAACAGTATAACCACAATAAAAGTATTTAATATCAATTTATTTATCATGGACTCACCCGCACTCCCATGAAGCGATCCCGCAGGACAATCCAGGATATAAGGAAGACAAAGGCACGACTACAGCAGAACCAAGTGAGGGTGAACGGGACATTCAAGCGTCTAATGGTTATTTTGGCCAACTGAGTGCAGCCCGACCAAGAAAAGCAGATGCAGATCACCAAAGCGACACCCCACAGTGCTCTGTGCAGGTGGACTGCAGTCATATGCAAACAGCAGCGGAGCCTCTGCAGCCTGTTCCCACAATCTGATTTGACTGTTTCTGTGGCAGAATGGCCATCTACCTTCACTTCCACCTTCTCGCTGTTGGACTGGTCCTCCCCTGCAGATACAGACAATATAACTGCATAATACAAAGTCATAAGCATAGCCACAGGCATTTAATTACATCACCACCTGTTTTTTTTTTTTTAGAAAATAAACTTTCATGCTGAACTCTAGGAGAAATTTGCATAACAAAGCTGATGCTGACAAATCTGAAATGCAGTACATAAGATAATATAATATCATTTCAGAACTGTACATTTAGTAGGACAACTACCAGCAAGCACCTTTGCAATGCTGAAAACATAAATCTGAAACAAGACAGCAGGAATCAAGCAATGCTCTTTTTTGAGAGCATTGTTTATTATCATAGTAAAAATAAAATAGGTAATTATAGACACACTATCATTTAAAAGTTTGTGGTCTGTAAGAATTTGTTATTGTTTCTGAAAAAAGTCTCTTATGCTCTCTAAGGCTGCATTTATTTGATAAAAAATACAGTAAAAACAGTAATATTGTGAAATATTAGACATTTTTATATATTTTAAATTGTAATTTATTCCTGTGATGGCCAAGCAAAAATTTCTGCAGCTATTACTCCAGTCTCCAATGATCCTTCAGAAATTATTCTAATATGCTAACGTGGTGCTTAAAACATTTCTTAATATTAATGATGTTGTGCTGTTTAATATTTATGTGAAAACTTAATTCAGGATTCTTTAATGAATACTAAGTTCAGAAGAACAGCATGTATTTGAAATAGAAATCTTTTGTAACATTATAAACATATTTACTGTAACTTCTGATCAATTTAATGCATCCTCACAGAATAAAAATATTACTTTCTCTCAAAAATAAATCTTACCCCAAACCTTTAAACAGTACTGTATAAATTCATATTGTGATATATAAAGTTATAATAGAGTTTCCGTTATGAAAAATAAAGTCACAACTGTGAGATAAAAATAAATTGCAATAGTAAGAAAAAGAGTCAAAATTGTTTTTACTCCATGGTGGAACGTGTGTCGTAATGTCATTTATCACAGAAAATATTTCTGACTCGTCCTTAGGCTTTTTTTAAGTAAGACATATAGTTAGTTACACAACATTATAAATCAAAATACAAGAACATTAGATAGCAAGAAGCAATACACAAGGTGTATGAAGAATGTATTGCTGTCCATGGTACTGAAGATGCAACACTGTTTTGTTTTACAAAGATTCTCATTTCTCCTTTATATACCATACTTTTGCCCTCATGGCCTGTAAGAGGACATTTACTATGTACTGGCTAGAACCTGTCAGGTCTAAAGGACAGAACTGTCAGTGGAAAAAGGACAAGTAGGAAGACAGACTGTGCCCAGGTAGCAGTCAGTCAACAGAACAAGTCTCATTATCATAGTCACACCACAGTCTGGGATAGTTAATGTGATCTGAGTGCCAGCCCAGTGCTGCACACATTGACCCAAGCATCAATAAGAAGGTGTTAAAGGTGTGTGGAGAAGTGGAGAAGTGGTTAAAGAATTGCCTTTTAAATCCAACCCTGTATAGTGGCAATGTGTGAACTAAAAACATGCTGAACTGCCTAATTACGATTGTGAACTGAAAAGGTAAGGGCTAACTTGATTGTACAAACCAATCAAATCCATTGGTTATCCACCATTATAGCATTTATTTGGCATTTATGGGCAGGTTCACATGCACATCCATCTGACCATCTCTCCATCGACTGCTGTATGACATAAGAAAAAAAAAAAATCAATGTCAAACCATATTTCTTATTACACACTTTTGTCAGACCAGAGCTGGAGGAATTATTCTTTCACTAAAACTAAGTTTTAAAGATGCTCTGTTGCATCATTTGAACACTGATGATGAACGATCTGCTCACTTCAAAAGCACTAAACGGTGAGATCTCTGCTTATGCTCTCAGGGTTTTTTAGAGGTCTCAACAGCTTTACTTCAATACGATACTTAAGTATTATTTTGAAGAATCTGTTAAAATCAAATATTTGTATCTTTACAATTACATTCACAGAAAAAAAAACTTTTTTACTCCATTACAATTTCATGTAGACTAGTTTAAAGTACTACGTCTGTAAAGTAAATGATATATGTCAATATGACTTATATATGGATTTTTTTTCCTTATCCCAATGTGACTAACAAGTTGATCAATCATGTTCACATAAGTTTAACTTGTGCATGAGAGTGCGCACAAATGTTATGCTATGATGCAGTCAGTGGAGGAATGGAAATGAGAATTGAGAGAGACCTCATCTGCCCCTGATGACTCAGCAAAACTGGGCTCTGACTCAGTTCCCTTCTCATGCATATTAGAGTCACTGACAGAGCTGCACGTCATTACTCAGGCTACAGTGCTTTGCTCAAATACAGTGCACAGCATAAATGAGTACACCCCCTCTGAAACCTAACAAATTCAGCAATTACTCTTTGCTTAGAAGACGTTATGGTTTTTTAGAGATATAATATTCCAGCAAGTCTGCTTGATCAGTTACCAAAGAAGAATGTTAAAATTATTCAAGAAAATACCATTTTCTTATCAAAGTGATAAAATGTTATGTTGCAAAAATGAGTACACCCTCCTGAAAGTTACTAAATAAAAATAAAAAAATTTAAATTCTAGTGTAAGGTTAAGGCAAGTACTAATCAACAGGTAAGTATGTTGAACCAAAACTGTTAAAGGTAAGTAATTTCTTGATAGTTAAGTGTTATATGGCCCACTGAATCATACTCAGACTTAATGCAGACAACAATGAAACCACTTGAGAGAGAACTGTCAGGAGATTTATTTCTTAGCATAAAAGAGGACAATGGTACAAGAGGAATACCAAATTATTGTTTTAAGTCTGAAAATATAGCCAAAGTAACACAGAAATTCAATAACAATGGACTTGTGAAAAGGCCCAGACTTCTGGGAATCCATACTCTGGTCTCATGAGAGCAAGTCAATCATTTCGGATCCAAAAGCATCCAAAATGTTCTGGTGTTGCTAGAGGAGGAGTACAGAGAGAAGTGCTTGGTTCCCACAGTGGCATTCAGTGGTAGTAAAGCTCTTCTATAGGGATGTATGAGTGCTGAAGGTGTGAGGGAGTTGTGCTTTATCAAACGCTGTCATGAATTCACACACCACTGTGTGATGTAATACAAAAACCTGAAACTGAAGATGCTACCCTCTTCTCATTCCCTGCATTGTTGGGCTTTTTTTTTTAACATGACAATAAAGATATTCATTCCCCTGAGTTGAAAATCCTTCAGTGGACATGTATTTCACTCAGTCTTAACACTCTTGAGCTGCTGTGAGAGATTATGTAGAGTCGAGCTGAGCAACACTCCCCATTAAAGACCAGGGCATTTAAGGAGGTCGTCCTCCAGGAGTTAAACAGCACAGATGTGAAAATGTGTCATGAACTTGTACACTCAGTGTCAAGAAGTGTCAGAGCAGTGTACTTAAGAGTTATGGAGGACATATTAAGTTCTAGAATATTACACTTGGTTGAATTAAATCTAGGTTGTACTCAATTCTGCAATCCTTCATTTAAACAAAAATTGGCTAAGTTTCTTATTTTACAGATATTAATGGCATGTATTTCTCTGTTTTTATTAAGAATATGTTTAATACATTTCAATTTTGCCATCTTTCTATGAATTATATTAGTGATCATTAAGAAAATAAACCTTAAATATTTAATCAGAGGGGGTGTACTCATTTATGCTGTGCACTGTACAACAATAGATACATCAGGGGTCCCATGTGCTAATTGGATATTTGCAAAATTTGCAAGATGTTTATCTTTTTTTTTAAATAAGAGGTTGCATTTTTTTTTTTTTTTTACTGTGTGCAGTGTATACATATAGAAAGTAACTGAAAGGGCTCTTTGTTTACAAATGATCTGACTCAGCTGTTTATCGAATGGGTGATAGATTGCGTTGCTTGTGCCTGTGTCAGCAGTATACTAAAGTATGAAATGTTTGTGCGTGGGGTTGCAGAGGAGCTCAGTTTGATGCAGGGGTGTGAAGCTGGTCTTTGATCGATGTGTTTACATCATAAAGCATAAATGTTCAGCTCTCAAATAAAAAAAAAATGATCAAAGATTCAAACTCATAGACGGGACTAGCAGCTTGATGAAAAGCAAGAAAAAACAGCCCTCGCTGTAACCTTTGAGCCACCTTCAAATTTTTTAGGAAGGAGTCAACCAGAATATTTCAGAGCACGTCAAACCAAAAGACTTACATATTGCATGTAAAAGCTATATAACGCAATATAATGAAATTCATGTAATACTATTTTATTTCTCTACAGGATACTATATAAGTATGTAAGATAGTCCACCCAAAAATGAAAATACTGTCATCATTCACTACACTTCCAAACCTGTATACGCAAAAGAAGATATTTTGAGGAATTTTCCTGAACTGGTTACCAAACATTCCTTCAATATATATGTTTTTGTGTTCCACAGATAAAAGAACGTCATACAAGTTTGAAACAACACGAGGTGAGTGAATTATGACAGAATTTCCATTTTTGGGTGTACAATCCCGTTAAGGGTAAAGGAACTATATGGGCACCCTAATAGTTCTATGCCCTTAACTCATATAATATTAATTTCATTCTTTACATTTAACGTACAAAAACAAGCATGAATCAAGTGTAGTAGCCTACCTCTAAGAGATGCGTTCCAGGGCTCATAGCAATAGTAACCAGTGATCCTCAGGATCCGCTCTTCTATGGATGTGTTGTTGATGTACTCGACCGATCTCGATGACTTCAATTCTTCACTTAGATCTTCATCAGTAATGACGAGGGATTTCAGCTGTCTGATCTGAGGACTGATATCTGACAGGCGGCGCGGACTCATGTCTGAAGGCTTTCTCATTCCCCTGAAGTTAAAGAAGAGACATCAGAACACAGTGGATGTCTGCGGAAATGTATACCTTAGAAGAACCAGCCTGCATGTAAACACACCGCAAACTAGAGGCACGACACAACGCAACGCGACAAAACGCTGCCAAACAATGTATCCAAAACTGCGAGTACGCACGCGCGCGAGCGTTTGCTAGAGTCAAACTTGCAGTTGAACTGCGGTGTTAAACAGTGCAAACTTGTTTATGGTACAGCCAGCAGCGAGCTTGACGAATGCATTTCAAAAGACTAAAAGGATGCTCACGCGCTCATTTTGAAGCATCGTATCGTAGCTTTTGGCAAGAAATGTAAGTAACTCACTCTGAGACAGAGAAGTTCTGTTTCATTCAGCACTCCGATGAGCCCATTTTAAGAACGGTTACAGAATAAAGCGTTAAGAAATCGTGACTGTTCTTGATAAAAAGCCAGAAGCTGAAGCACTGCCGTATGAAGAGAAGACACGACCACCTGTGCGCACGCAATGCGCATACGCAGAAACAAAAGCTGACATTATGGGTCGCCGTGATTTTGCCAAGTAAGACGTGTTCCTGGATCAACATCTTTTGATGATCCTGGATCAACATTATTGTCCAAAAATATAGACTTAACCCAATCCCTACCCCTAAACCTAACCTTACCCATAATTTATTCCTAAAATCAGTGGGAAATGATAGCTGATTAACAAGGGTGTAGAAGCACCTAACCCTGATCGTAAGCCTAAAACAGATATTTCCTGAAAAGTTATATCTCAATTCTGACTGGTTGATTGAAATGTTGGTCCAGGATCAACAAGGATGTTGATCCAGGAACATGTTGTACTTGGTGAAATCACGCTCACCGACATTATGAATTTATGATCACCAATATTGACGTTTCATCTAATATCATTTGGCGATTTATCCACGTTGACTGCCAATAAACTCTCTTAAAACACACTTTTCATTTGCTCAAATGTTTTGGTCAAACAATGTCCTTTTTTAAAGTCATCATGAGCATTCAGTGGTGGAAATATTTTTGGAATAAAATGACAGACTCGGCTAATTACATAGCTAATATTGTAGGTATATTTAATACACATACGTTGCATTATTTGCCACAAGAACAAAAAACTTTAATAACTGCTGTCTGCTGGCTGACTGACTGTAAGGAAGTTGTCTTACTTTTTATACAATAATTTCTACATGCTGTGTTGCTCTTGTGATACACATTACATTTAACATGCTTCAGTGTATCTTTCTTAGATGAACAGGTCAGTTGTAGCAACCCAGCACAGCCCATTTGTCTGGCACACCAGAGATGGTAAGGGGGAAAGAAGGAAACTGGCCAAGAATAGATGAGTAAGGAAGTGGCTCTTGGAGGGTGGTAAACCCAGGAAGAAGGAATTGCATGCAAAGCCCTTTTGATCCAACATGATCACGACTCATGTCTCATGCATGCTCATGATATGCATTAGATTTTTAAATGTCAGAAGAAATGTAAGTGTTTTTTGTCCATGCCACAAGTCTAGGGTGTTGTGAGTGTTTACACAGGTGTTGCATGCAGTTGCTATTGCATTCTGTTTTTAGCATGTCACTATATGAAGAGAAGACACGACCACCTGTGCGCACGCAATGCGCATACGCAGAAACAAAAGCTGACATTATGGGTCGCCGTGATTTTGCCAAGTAAGACGTGTTCCTGGATCAACATCTTTTGATGATCCTGGATCAACATTATTGTCCAAAAATATAGACTTAACCCAATCCCTACCCCTAAACCTAACCTTACCCATAATTTATTCCTAAAATCAGTGGGAAATGATAGCTGATTAACAAGGGTGTAGAAGCACCTAACCCTGATCGTAAGCCTAAAACAGATATTTCCTGAAAAGTTATATCTCAATTCTGACTGGTTGATTGAAATGTTGGTCCAGGATCAACAAGGATGTTGATCCAGGAACATGTTGTACTTGGTGAAATCACGCTCACCGACATTATGAATTTATGATCACCAATATTGACGTTTCATCTAATATCATTTGGCGATTTATCCACGTTGACTGCCAATAAACTCTCTTAAAACACACTTTTCATTTGCTCAAATGTTTTGGTCAAACAATGTCCTTTTTTAAAGTCATCATGAGCATTCAGTGGTGGAAATATTTTTGGAATAAAATGACAGACTCGGCTAATTACATAGCTAATATTGTAGGTATATTTAATACACATACGTTGCATTATTTGCCACAAGAACAAAAAACTTTAATAACTGCTGTCTGCTGGCTGACTGACTGTAAGGAAGTTGTCTTACTTTTTATACAATAATTTCTACATGCTGTGTTGCTCTTGTGATACACATTACATTTAACATGCTTCAGTGTATCTTTCTTAGATGAACAGGTCAGTTGTAGCAACCCAGCACAGCCCATTTGTCTGGCACACCAGAGATGGTAAGGGGGAAAGAAGGAAACTGGCCAAGAATAGATGAGTAAGGAAGTGGCTCTTGGAGGGTGGTAAACCCAGGAAGAAGGAATTGCATGCAAAGCCCGTTTGATCCAACATGATCACGACTCATGTCTCATGCATGCTCATGATATGCATTAGATTTTTAAATGTCAGAAGAAATGTAAGTGTTTTTTGTCCATGCCACAAGTCTAGGGTGTTGTGAGTGTTTACACAGGTGTTGCATGCAGTTGCTATTGCATTCTGTTTTTAGCATGTCACTATGTGCTTATGAAGGTGTTCTGGGGTGCGTTTCCCCAAAGCAACTATGGTCGCAAGTTCCATCATTACCAATAGAGTTCAATGGAACTTGCGATCATTGTGAGCTAACAATGCTTTTGGGAAACGCACCCCTGGGCGGCAGTGTATTTTTCCAATCACTAAATTTCTAGGACATTCTGCTCCCTATATAAACCTGGGGTCAATTTAATGTCTGCTTAATCCTGCAGTGTAAATTGATGAGATTTTTTCCCCTCCATTCTATTGTTGACCAGGCAAAATTCGTAATTCTGATTGCTAAGAAAAGTGATATGACAGCAATATTTCATCAACAAGCCGCACAATTTGAAAAATCATTCGTATCATCATTCGGCGTAGCATGCTAAAGTTTAATACGAATTTTAAGCTTTCATATCTCTAACTCTTAAGTATGAGAAATTATAACCTAGTGATGCTGACCTTAGCAAACAACATTAAATATGTTAATTTTCATACTTAAAGTGTATGTTAGTTCATAAATAAATACATCATCTTTTTAATAAGTACCACATTTACACCTTCTCCATAGTTTATGGCATTTTCAGTGCTGCTCTTAAAAAACTTTAATTTATTTTAGTAAATTTACCTATGTATAATGTCCAATGTGTATTATAACCACTTTATAGTTCACTTGAACAAAATTGTTGGTTTGAAAACTTTGCAGTGCAAATAACTAACAATTGAAAGTAAGTTGAGCATTAAAAAGCTTAGTAATCAAACCCTTCTTAATAAAACTCCTTAAAAGCATCATTATGCTATTTGGTCATTAAACTGTCATTCAGATTAGCTTTTCAGCACTTAATCATATGTAAAAGTTTTTACCTGTCTTTCGGAGGACACAGTTGTACACAGGGCGCTGGAGTCTCATCCTCTTTCTGCATTGTGCTGGCACATCATGTGTGGGGAACTTGTCCCTGCAGTGTGGCAGCTTCACAGTCCACAGCCAGGTTTTGAAAGATGGCTAGCAGTGGGGGTGTGAGCCACAGTGTGTGTATGTATGTGTGTGTGGTGCAAAATAGGAGTTCCTTGTAACTGGTTGGCACCTATCGATCGGAAGAGCCGTCTCCACCCCAGCACAAGCCTCAGTCAGGAGACCTATGCTTAGCTAAGCAAAAACTTCTGACAGTGCCGTCAATACCCTCCCAACACCTTCCACTGGAGAACGCCGTGGAGAGAAGAGGTCTGCGCTGCATATGCTTAACTCAAAATTGAGTTTGGCACATACTGTAGCGAGACCTGACATCTAATGAGGCAGACTGGCTTGGATAAACACAGGCCATGGGAGAGAGAGTTTAATTGAAAAATCATTGGGTGAGAGCTATCGAAGCACTCTGGTGGAGATTATTCGCATTTACCAAGGACACACCAAAGGCAAAGTTAAAAGGAGACATTTATAAATAACAACTGCAGTATTCAATAGTTTGTTCTCTTCACGGAGAACAGTAGCATAACAACAAGTAAAATGTCAACCAGGGCAAGATGACCCCTCCATATTTTTTTCTCTTTACCATACACTCTTAAGAAAAATGGTTCTAAACAGTACCAGAAAAGGGTTCTTCGGCTTGTAACAATAGCAGAACCCTTTTTAGTGCTAAATAGAACCTTTTTATAGGGTTCCATATAGAACCATGCTTTGAAAATGCTATATAGGACCTTATTGGTGTTATAAATAACCTTTTTAATGATAGTCTTTCATTAATATTAGTGTTAATATCATTACTATTAGTATTATTTGTATACATTATTTATTAATATTGTTTTTTACCCCTCTATCTGCCTGGTCTTATAATATCTTGAAGTGTCTATTAGGGTTTTACATGAAATCAACAACAACAACAATGTGTCAATTAGGTACTTATTTATTTGTTTTTTTTTAATGACGTAAAATTGTAGCAAAAATGACTGTGTTCTAACAACAGTTATTAGCTGAATACATTAATGAATGACAATGGGCATTGAACATAAATAAATGCTTAAAGAAATAAAACAAAATAGAACATAAAATAGTGTATTGAAGACCAAGCTCCAGTGAAATATCTTCACAATCCTCTATGATGCCTTTAAGTTAATCATTATCTGTATTTTGGTGGGATTGAATGGCAGTTTCTCTCTGCAGATGATGAGGTTGTAGGATGTGACAGCATCTGAGAAGCACAATTGAGTTTAGATATACAATGTGTCTCCTTTCATTTGTTTAAACAAAATAGAACATAAAATAGTGTATTGAAGGCGAAGCTCCAGTGAAATATCTTCACAATCCTCTATGATGCCTTTAAGTTAATCATGATCTGTATTTTGTTGTGATTGAATGGCAGTTTCTCTCTGCAGATGATGAGGTTGTAGGATGTGACAGCATCTGAAATGCGTTTAGATATACGTTTGTTAGATATACAGTTTGTCTCCTTTCATTTGTTTATGTGAAAACAATTGTTTATGAAGGCCAAAAGTATATGTGAGCACTTCACAATGTTAAAAGGAAAAAGTAATATAAAGTCAAGGGATAGCTGGGTATGTTTATGCATAAACCCTAGTAATAAAAAATAACAACAATGCACCAAACTAACTAACACCATCTAACAAAATGGACCAAAAATTCAATATCTTTGTTACTTAGTGAAGAAGAGGAGAGTATCCTTAACTGAATAGAGCTGGTCACACTTACATGTTCTCTTAAACTAAAAACAGAAAAAAAAATAGGAGACCAATTAGCATTTGAAAGTTATAATTTATGACTGAAAATTTTCATGCAAATTTTACATTTTAAGAAAGAAATAATTTACCTGTTGAGAGTGTGTGTTCTTCAGAATGCTATGGTTCTAAATAAAACCATTACTGCATGTAAAGAACCTTTAAAGAACCATCTTTTTTTAGAGTGAGATGGCACAAAATCTAATCTCAACACATTTAATGAATGGACATGCTCTTTTTAATTTTGCCATTTCATCTGAATATTAATATTTGTGAGATTTAGTCATTCAAGTTTAGATGTTAATTGATATAATTTTGTGTCTCTGGAAAATAGTGATCTATGACATTACATTATGTCGAATGTCAAAGGTTTTTTGTCTGTTTGCTAATAGGGAATTTGTGGACAGATTGATGTTTTTAGATTTGTGAATATTTTGTGAATTGTGAATATTTGTAAAATATATTTTTTTTACTACACAAATATAAAAACATGAATGTTTTTAGATTTGTGGAGTAAAAATATTTTTATTTTGAAGTGAACAGATACAACTAGACTATTTGGGTAAGATGGGTTCCTTATTAATTGGTACAGAAGGCCCAGAGTGGCATGTTGTTACTAGTGTTATTATTATTATTTTTTTAAATATAATATTTATTGTAATCCATAGGGTTATTATTCAGTAATTCCAAAAGTTAGACAGGGGTGGCTTCTTGCTCCAGATAGGAGGTCATCTAACCCTCTTTGAGTTGCTCTGCTACAAACTCAAAGGGGTGTTAGTCCTTCAACTGCCAGATAAAATACTGTACCTTTACTTTTGGTACCACACATCAAATGTTTTCATAGGAAAGAAAAATCAAGACAACTCTTCAATATTTTGGTTCTTTCTCCTAGATATCAATGAGACTGAATGAAGATCAAAGATTTCTATATGAACTCAAATATTTCTCATCAAATACTTTAAGCCTAATTATTTATATCATTTGTTATTATTTAAATGTATTTACGTTTCAGCTATACTCTCCATATTAACATTCACAATGAGCTCTGTACTTTTACGGTTTGTCAACAAATGTCTCGATTGTCTCTATATTTATGAGAAACATCTCATATAAAGTCAATACCTCCAGAAAATGAATCATTGCTGAAACTTCCAGCTAGTTTCCGGAGGTATGCAAGAAACAAAATTGTCCATTGCATGTTAATCGTGCATCTAAAATGAAAACCAACAGATACTAACAAGAAATTGTTCAGATTATACTCAAAACCATCATTTTCCCATGATATCAAGGAATTATTCACCTTTAGAGAAACCCTGAAATATTACCTCCTATATCGCTACAAGCAAAATACATTGTCCATTTACAAGCTCAGCTTTCTCAGCAATATTATCATACGCTGTGAAGATTATGAATGTGGCATTTAGTTGAATGTCTAGGGGAACTCAAGAAGGTCTCTTATAGTTTCATGTGCTGTCCTGTTCCAAGTTTAACAAAGTGAGCACAGCTGCAGGGCCTTGTTAACATAACCTCGGCTCAATTTCAGCACCACTATTACAGGATGGCATCAAATTCACTTTCAAACAGCAGAGTAAATATCTCTTTTAACAGCACTGAGCAGGCATCCTGATAGACTGTTAACAGACTGTACAGCTGCTCAGGGTTTTAACACACCTATATAGCCTAGCAAAATAATCTAAGTAAACAACTCTGAGAGGTGGAGATGTGTTTGGATTACATTTGATATGTGCTGCAAGTTCTGTTTCAGCTCATATGTACAAAATCTTGCTACTGGCTGAAGAATGGACACAATACAATTACAACATCTACAGTATAACCAAAAATCCAGTTTATTCTGTTTTGTTAAAGTGCAACTCAAGACATACGATAAATGCACAACTTTCAGTATCTTTAGGCATGAGCAATAAAATTTAAATATGAAAATTAAAACTACAAATTAATGATAAAATAACATGAATTCCCTTCAGCAATATACCCAGTCACTGGGTATATGTCAAGAATGTACTGATGCACTGATGTGACTTATGTTCTCGTCTTACAATACAGTGCACAACAGCACCTTTAGGTGGTGTACAATGCCTACTGCATCTGCAGAACAGCCAACATGACTAAAGCCAAGTAAAGAAATTAAATATACAGATATCTGATTGTCTGATGCCTCTACTAAAAATATATATTTTAAATTCCCTTTACAATTTAATTAAAGAATGTCACCAGGGACCTGCCCCTGTCTATTCTAAAAATCTAAGGGAAAAAAACAAAAAAACAATGCGCCATGACTAAAGGCTGGAATACACTACATGGTTTTTAAAATCTGAACAGATTTTAAAACACTAGGCATCGTACACTTGCAGACCTTGAATAGAGTAAAGGCTGGAATACACCACACAACTTTTAAAATGACTAAAAGTCTATGGATCAAACATCACCAGATTTTCAAGTCTTTCTAAAAACACAACAAACTCACACAGAAGTGTGTGCCTTTTTTACTGACAAATGAAAACAATGTGTGTTCTAAAATCAGCTCTAAATATCAAACGTTTGATATTCTCCAACTGGATGGAATCATAATCTGAATCTAAAAAAATTGAGTCTGTGCCCATCATACACACATTATATGATTTTCTGCAAAATCTGTCAACTCTGACTGCCTAAAATCAGTAGACTGATAGTGTTGACTTGTCCAGACTGTAAATCAGGGCAAAAATTGGTATAAAAGTCATGTAGTGTTTTCCTGCCTTAAGCAATGTCTACAAACTTAGTAACCTGAAGACATGATTTCCATTAATACATCTGTAATACAGGATGTGGATCCCTTTAAGTCACCTAACAAGAACAGCATATGAAGTATGTAATACTAGTCTATGACCACTTACCAGTTAACTATTTATATTCGGAGTCATGGATGGATTTATCTTTTACCTACACACACAAACACACACAAAACCCTGGTCACAACATGTTTTCCAGTTCAGCAGCTGCATGAACAATGATCTCATATGATATTATGTATTCTACAAATTCATATAATCCTTTACCATAATAAATTACCTTCAGCATGTGTTTCAAGTGTTCGTATCTATGGTTGGTTTCGGTTAACTTGACAGCAGAGTACACTAACAATACATTTATGCTCTTAGCAGAGATGTTTCAGAAACATTAACGTGTTGTTTCTTGACACAGAATTTCAGTATGTCTCATTGGTCCATTGGAGGTAGTAGGTGAGGCGGAGACTATGTCATCAGGAAACATATCTGTCTTATCTTCCCTAAATGAGGCTGCCTGGTCGGACACAGAGGCAAATGAGAGGTGATCATGATCCACAATGTTAAGCTGGTCCTCTGTTTTTTGTTTCCTCAAGTAGAACATCTTTCTGAGCTTCTTCAGGTGCTGAAGTTCACAGAAGGTTTCCAGAACCACCAACATCGCGATCAAGCCCAATATCAAGTAGACTGTACAAGAGAGAAACAGATAAGGTTAAAGAGAAACAGAAAGCGACCCTTAAAGGAACACTCCACTATTTTTGAAAATAGGCTCATTTTCCAACTCCCCTAGAGTTAAACTAGGGATGTCAATTTTCGATAATTTACATGATCAATCGTCGTTTAAATTAACGATCGATTAATCGATTAATCGTTAACCTTAATGCTGCAAAATGCGTCTATGCAGCCCGGCATGACAGGATGTGCAAAAGTTACTCAAAAAAAAAAACTGCTTTCTCACCCGATTTAAAGGGGATTTAGTCTGAATAAAATGCTAGTTAGCAGGATTGTAAAATGAATAGATGTGATTATGATCATTTCATAAAATGAAGAGAGATCGTTTGAGATAATTTTACTTTGTTGACCGTTTCCTATCCCGACACGGAGACCGCTGAACGCGCCTCTTTAAATGGTTTCGTGGTGCTCGTTGTTGTATTTTAAAACACTTTGCAATGTTTTCAACTGACATTATGGCATTTAAAATAAAATGATCCCAAACGTAACTGTGGCGCGTGTGGCTGTTCTGCGCAGTCAGTGAACCGCTGCTGCAGCCAAACACACAGTTGCTCATATCAAACATTATTATGTGAGTATTATGA